GTGAGTTAAGTATGAAAATTTAGAACAATTTTAGATCTAAAGAGCTTTGTGAGTCGTCAAAGGGTCGGACGGTCTTTTGCTATGAGTAGACTTTCTTTAATATTTTCAAAACAAGACCCAAAACTCGAGCGCTTTCGGATAGTTGACTGTTCTTCTTCAGGAGAATAAAAATAGTCAACTATTCGAAAGCGCTCGCATTTTGGGTCTCGTTTTGAAAATATTACAGCTTTTGTAGGTGATCCTTGTGCTAACTACTTAACCTGGATTTAGACTTTCTTTAATGTAGAGGTCAAGGTATGAAGATCCTGTGATGATGATGATAGAGAAATTGTTAAATAAAATATTGTGATCTGTGGTTTCAGAATGTGAACGAATGGGTGAGTGGCTGGGTTTAAGTGGTGAATGGTTGGTTCTGTTAGATACTCCTAAATGTTCATAGACTCTAGTTTTAAGTGGCGTTTCGTTTTGCCAACGTACGTGACCTTACAGTCACTACACGTATATTTATACACGAGCCATGAACATAGAAGTTTAGGTACTCGATCTTGGTACTGAAATAAGTGTTTAATGCAGAGGCTAGGTCTGTATATTATTCTAAACTGAATTTGACTGTAAATGTTTTTTACTGGGGAAGAAAGATGTTTTTTAATTAGGAGGGATTGCGACCCATAAGAGGAAAGAAGATAATGAGGGGAAATTTGGGAACGGTGTGTACATTGGCCGGATGGTTGGAATTTGTTTAGGAAATTGCGTGTAATCTTCCTTAGAAAATCAGTCGGATAGCCATTATTTAATATATGTTTATGTAGAAGGGTAATTTATTCATGTAAAATAAAAATAATTAGAACAAAAATTAAAAATTTTGTTTAACAATGATATAACCAGATTACGTTTGAAGAAGTTGGGGATAAAATACTGAAATTGGTGTAGAGGCCAGTAAAAGTTATTTTATGATAAACATAAGTAGAAAAGTGTTTACCTTCTTTGGTAATCCTGACGTCTATGAAAGGTAAAGAATCATTTTCCTCGAGTTCGGATGTGAGCTTGATATTGAGGTGTTGGGAATTAAGGTAAGAAAGAAACTTGGAAACATAGCTTAATTGTCGAAACAGCAAGAAAGTGCCATCAATATAGCGTTTGTAAAGGACAGGTTTGAATTCACGTGGGCAGTTTTCTAGTCACTTGGATTCATGATAGCACAGAAAACTATTGGCTGTCGTCGGACCATGCGGGGATCCTATCTATCTGGTCGTAAATGACATCATTAAAGAGGAAATGGTTTAACTTTGTAGAGAGGACAAACAAGGAATTATTTACACGTGAAACCAAGATACTGTTCAGTGTCAGTGGGAAAGAGAAGGTCCACAATTAAATTTAGTTTCATCAAGGGGATATTGGTATATAGAGATTCAATATCAAAACTGGCCATAACATATTGATCAACAGAGGGAATTTTAGAGATTTCAGAAGCAAAAGTAAAAGAGTTCAAGGTGAGAGGTCTAAGGTTAGGAACGATAAATTTTTATTTATATTGTTTGCTGGCTTTTTATGCTCAGCTTATGGAGAAATGATTACTTGATATGGTAGCTAACCTTATACATTGTTATGATAATAAACGTAGCTAGCTGATACGGTTCATGATACTTTACTGTAACTATTGACTATTTGATTGCATTAGTTCGAGATGCAGCTATTATTGGCTGGTAATTCTTGTTTCACCCGGTACTTCAGCTTTTTTAAAGGAACACCATATATTTGTGAGAAAGCTAACTTCAAGGGTTAATGATAGTATACATTAGAATTATGATGTTTTTTAGTTTATGTAAAATATGAAAGAAACAAGTCGCTTTTTCAATACCCCAATGACCTTGTTTGTTTTGAATTTTGCGCAAAGCTACACGAGGGCTATCTGCGCTAGCCGTCCCTAATTTAGCAGTGTAAGACTAGAGGGAAGGCAGCTAGTCAACTCTTGGGCTACTCTTTTACCAACGAATAGTGGGATTGACCATCACATTATGACGCCCCCACGGCTGAAAGGGCGAGCATGTTTGGTTTGACGGGGAATCGAGCCCGCGACCCTCAGATTGCGAGTCGAGTGCCCTAACCATCTGGCCATGCCGGGTCCCGCTGTTTAGAAACAAATGAACAAAGTAGGCCTTATATAGTTGTAGAATTCAAGCAGTTTGGTTTTGACGTGTAGTCCTTTATTTACCATTGAATGATTAGTGACGTGAGTAGCATGTATGTTCCAGAACAGACGATACTATTGTGTTTTCTATAGTGTCCAGCTCAACCTGGACAGATGATACTATTGTGTTTTTTTATAGTGTCCAGCTGAACCAGAACAGATGATACTATTGTGTTTTTATAGTGTCCAGCTCAACTATTTTATGACATTACATGAACTTTAATTCATCACACCATTAAATGACATCTTGTCACGTAACATATATAAACTAGTAAAGCTCTTGCTCCAAGCATGTATATACACATGAAAACAAGAGGAATCTGTGGTTCACAACAGTAAATAGTTTTCACTAAATACTGGTATACAAAAAAGAAAGTTCCCCTAATTAAAAAAAATTTGCTTCAAGTAACATTGTTATTGAAGCTTATTGGCATTCACTTTCCCCTGTTATAATCATGTCAAGTAAGCTAACTGAATATGAATCACTTGGTACCCAAGATCCACCTCTACAAAACTCTTACTTCAATTAAAATACAAAAATGGACTGTTGTGGATTCACTGTCTAGAAGTAATATGCTCTGACATTTATGTCTCTATTGTCAAACTTCATAAAGTTGTAACTTCAAGTAAAACATAAATATGGAGTACTAGCGAAAGTATCCATCATTTGATGCAAAGGTATCCATGCTGTACGTGGCATTAAAAGTCACTTTGGTGTCAGCTGCACATATTTTGTTACCACTCTTCTTGCACAGTTCAGTCCTCATTTACACCAGCAAAGTGATAAAATTTAAATGGCTGACAAACTGGAACCATTGGTCTGATTAATGTTTATCCATTTAAACTGGATATTTGGGAATCCAATCAAGTTCTTTAATGACATTTCATCAAAATTGATTGAAGTTCTTCACAAAACTTATGACACCATACAGATGAACAACACTGCTTTATATGAACTATTAAGTATTAATGCCATCTGTTATCCATCATTATAAGGCCTTGGAATTTGTAGCATATTTTATGCAGCTCTATAAAGCTCTTGCTTCAACTAACACATAAATATGGACTCTTAGAAATTGGTGGCATATGTTGCCTATCATTGCAAAGCCCTTGTGTTGAATGATGCATAAACAAAAATGCAACTATAAACATGCAGTGTGATATCAGATTATTTTCTACAAATATAAGTATATACTTGGTGTCTCACAGTCACCATCACACAACACAGTTACCATATAAACACTTTACTATCTTTACAAAGTCCCTTCTTTAAGTTACTTAAATAATGTAAGGAGTCTTGTGGTTAACAGGCCATTATCTTGAAAATATATCAATGCATACAAGCATTCTGTATTAAGAACTTTCATAAAAATGTTAATTAATACAAGATTTCTCACTAAATGTTAACCAAGTACTTTAATAATAACCATAATAAAAAACATAAATCCTTTAGGGTTTTATAAGAAGAGAAAAAATTAAGTAAATGGAATAGATTCACTTTTATAACCTTATTTGTTTTGGATAAGTAATGAAAAAAAATTTTTTTTTTTCCTTTTATTAGAAACCTATTTTTTGAACAAGACAAAACCACTATATAATGAGCATCTTCATTTCAAAATAAAGATTAAACCTAAGATTTCTATTTTCTTAATTGATAAACTCCTATATTGATTTTGTTACTTAATAAACAGCAAACTTTTCATTAGTTCATGTGACTAATAATCTTCGTCTAAGCTAATCATTTCATAGTTTCTCAATTAATAAATTGCTAGTTTCAAGTCTGAACTAAATTGATGGGCCCTTTATTATTTCCACAATAGTACAATTAAATGTCATAATTTTTTGCACTAAAAACAATAAATTATATAAATTATTCACAGCATTTTCTATCAAATAAATGTATTTTAACAAAAAGTAGTCTTTGATGGCTAGAGTAATATTGTGCAAACCTATCCTTCAAGAAATTGTAAAATTCTGCTTAACCACAAAATATGGAAAACCCACTAAAGTAACTCAAATGACATTTTGTATTAAATTACTGTTTTGTGTAAATTCATGTTAACACTTTTCACTTTGTAACAAACTGAGAATGGATATTGATGACAAAACTTCCACACCAGTGCTGATAATCAGAGCAGGAAATGACTTTTAATGTCTGCTGGATTGTAAATTAAGAGTTACAGTGCAATGAAATAATAATATACATAATTCCAAAAATCCATTGTAATACTGACAACTTTGATATACTGAAAACAACTTAAAAATTTTTTTTCTGTGGTAACCTTGGATGATAATTTCCTCTTTCTTTTATAACAGGTGAAGATACTATCTTCAGTTTGAACATTCTCTCTCTCTCTTTTCATTTTTAACCTTCTGTATATGATTTTTCATTCAAACATGTAAATTTTATATTTTCTTAATAAGAATAACCTTCATACCCTCCACATCTACACTTGGCTAAGATATAAAGGACTTTAGTTTTTTTCAGCAATCTGTATAAAATTTCTCAGAATGATATTTCTATGATACTTTGCACTATCCACAACTTTGTGAATATTTTTATGCTAGTTTATTTTAATTAGATACTTGTACTAAAGGGTGATCCAAAAGTTGTACACCACCATGATTTTTCTAATCTGTTGGGAATGTGTTCCACTGATATCATAGCAAAATATTACTACTGTGCTCAGGTTGTGACTCAAGGTTATTGGTAATACAGTTGGGCAAGCTGTTGAAAATCAAATATAACCAAAGACAAATACTGTGATGATGTAAGATCAGGAGAATCCCCACTCAACACTTCCAAGCATTAATACAAGGTTAATGATATGATTGCAATCAATTATTATAAAAACAAGTTACCAAAACACAAACATACTTAGTAAAACCCTAGTAATGTAGGACCTAGAAATATCATGGTGGAGCATGATTTTAGCATCATCCTGTATCATAAAGTATTCAGAAATTCTGAAGCTTAAAAGCTTTATTTCCTTATTTGAATTTCACAAAACTCTGTATCAGAATTACACTATCTGATGGCAGAATTCAAGTATCCTTAAACTTTTCTTACTACATTTATATCTTTGCAAGAAAATTATGGCAATCTTAACTCGCACATCAACAGTCAAATGCTTTAATATTTTTCTAAGTTATTCTGACCAGAGAACAACTACAGAGAAGTGCCTATTTCAAATGTTTCACACTTTTATAACAATAAATCATAATCTCTTACAATTCACTTGTTTAAACTCCATATAAAGCAATCATCTCATCACAGTACTTTATACAAACTGTTTTCTACTCTCTAAATACATGTAAAAACAGAACTCTTTTTTTTTTTTGTCCTGGAACAAAAGCAAAGTTGCATGAAAGTTAAATCATACAAAAACACATATTAAACTACAGACTGCCAAATAACAACAATGATTCTCCCATTTTATTTCTTTATTATTTTTGTTTATGTTCAAGAAAAGCAAATCAATTCTAAGTATAAATAATTATTCTAACTAAGTTTAGAATACATAACTAAAAAACAATTCCACTAACATGAAGTCATTTCATCAAATTGCTGCCAACAGCAATTTTCATTACCTTACAAAATGATAGATAGAGCAATATAAGATATGGCAGTAATAATGAAACCTGTAACTCAGTACACTTAATATAAACATCAGCATTCATGACACATCAGCTTTAGAGGAAGAAAAATCAAAGTTCTGGAACAATCTAATAATATCAGATCTGTGGACTGCATGCTGGGTTGACATTTTTAATGTCAATATCCTGCAACTATTCTTGCTTAAGTATAAAATAAGGTTAAATACAACCAAAGTTATACAAATATTTAAAAAACAACTTGGATCAATCATTTCAAAAGAGAGATTCTGATCTCTAGTGAATTATTTTATGTAAAATGAAAGTCTTTTTGCCATCAGAATTTTTTTTAATCGCAAACCTGTTTTGCTTGAATAGTGAAATTTATAAAACAAAAAGGACATTTTTCAAGAAAAACATAAAAGGAATATATCTCCACACTCTTGACATTGATGAGAGGAATACAAGGTGACAATATTAATATTATAATTAGAGAACTAATTAATATAAAAAAGAACCCAGAAGCACATTAAGATTTCAGGTTTAAAAGGTTGATGCATTTTTGTTCATGTGCCTCAGTTTTAATTTTACAAAATGTTATAAATTGTAACACATTAACAAGAAATATTAAGTTTTCAGTATGTTCCTTCCTAAATCACCTAATACTGGCTGATGCAGTGTTTGTTCCAAAAATTAGTTGCTTCTAAACATTTACCAGATGGTTCAAAATGAAGCATGCAGCTCTTATCTTTACTACCATATTCACATCATCAATTAGTGCTGAACTAAAAAAACATTCATCACAAGAAATCTAATGATAGCAACCAAGAGAAATTTCTTTAAGAAAGAATAGCCAAGGAAACTGACAACTTGTAACACATTGCACTGTAGAATGAATATCTATATAAAAAAAAGTTTAAGTACATCTTAATTTAGAAAACCCAGAACTGCTATGACATCATTTTTGATAATTTTTATTATGGATATTCAAAATAAGTTATTATAAAATAGGTCAAGAATTGGACACAATTACAGAAACAAGCAAAAAGACAGTTTAAAAATGTTGAAGACCATGATATTTTTAGCAGATTTCTAGGCGAGTTAAAACAGTAATACAATGGATGACCTATGCTAATTTACTACATTTACACCAAATTTTATGCAAGTGACAATGATAATCTCTTTCTATATTCTGCATTCTTCATATGCTAATCAGTTGGGCACTTTATCTTCTCAGCTTATTATAACTAGCAAATAAGCCTTCTTACATTTTTGGATAACACAAGAAAAAAATTGAATAACCTATGCAAAAGTGTTTCCAGCACCAAACTACATAATCCTTCCCAACTCCAGTGCCCAAAGACAGAATAAACTAAAATTACACATGCACATCTAGTGTAGAATTACAGAATATAAAGTAGATGCTTTCACATAATGTACAGTTTGGCTTTAATCAAGATGAGGTTTTTAAACATCTCAGCTGAAAAATTAATTATGACCCCATCCTCATCTTAGTGACTACAGAGAAAAAAAAAATCAAATGAAAGAAAAATTAGTGGTCAAAAAGATAACTACGTAAAATTTAAGTGATCTTAATTCACTAATAAGTGAAGAATAAAAATAAATTAACTCTTCATATGCAGCCTGTTCCTTGTTTGAAAGGCAATTATGTGATGAATAAATATGAAGTTGTAAATTTATTATTTCCCATGGTAGAAATATGACATTTTCAAAGGGTAAATACTCATGTGAAGGTTAAAATGAACAAAATTTATAAGTTGAAGTACATATACATATATATACATATAGATAGATGACTAGAATCTGATATACGTTATAGTCATCATCTTTACTGTATTCTTCCTTCCTCAAAGAGACTTTTAAGTCAAAAGTGAACCTTTACAATTCATTAATATTTGAAAAGTTATATTTGCAGACCTCCAAGCACCATAGTCAAATACCATATCTTCCGTTTACTACGGATGCAAATGGGCGGATTCATCTCTCGTTTCAAGATCCAATGCAAAAAATTAACACAGAGAACACTAATAAACAAACAGCAGCCTTTTTTAGTCTTCTTATTTGGCAAGAAACAGTAATGTTGTTTCACTACTTTTCCTTTTGTAGAAAAACAAAAACAACAGACACAGAAAGAAGTTTAAAGTTTTACAAAGAGTCTCCTTTAAAATCTCAGATAAAAAACAAACTCCATAGATAGTCATCAATGTAGCTGAGCAATCAGATCAGTAAGAAAAGTAAGTATGCAGAGAAAAATGGTGCTACAGTTAGGAAGCACATGCACTGTAAGTTTAACTAGAAATCATTATACATCCAGCTTATAGTTTAAAGATGTAGTCAGTTGTGCTATGTCCAACAGGACAAGAAGAACAGAAATGTGCAGAATACCAAAGTCATTAGATGTGAATTTGCACTTATACACACACACACACACATACACACACACACACATAGATAAATTTGAATTCCATTATGAAATCAAGGCCTATTTCTGGATAAAAAATAAGCCAGAAAATGGAGTACAAAAGTTTCTAGAGATGAGCCTCTTGTGAAGTAGTGTTTTCACCTACACGAGGTTGTATTCTTTCAGGTTTAGCTGTAAGATGGTATCCTTCACTGCAGCAAATACAAAGCGTATGTTTTCAGTATCTAGAAAGAAATAATAATTCATTAATTACAAGTAAACAAGGGTTGAAACAATCATATAAAACAACTCAACTAATGACAAGCTTTGAAGCCACAATGAGATGATGTTAAGAAACAATGCATGTTAATTCCACCCTATTCTTTAACAGTTAATATACTTAAGTGAAGTATATTCTGGGCTTATTGATCATTAATTAAACATTTTAAAATATTAATCAGGAGGAGATGTGTCTGCTACCTTCTTTGAAAAATGTCACAGGTGGTAGTAACAAGTTATCAAATAACATCTAATGAACCACAATTAAATTTTTATATAGCTATTACAAAAATTCACTTACTGATTTAACTTAATGTACAAATGTATGGATATTGAAGTTTAGTAAATAACTATGAGTATAATGATTGTAATCAATTATGGATTAACCTTATGGATATGGGGGATCAAAGTGCACATGGCATGCCTTTTACATAGCGAGACATTTTTTAAACAAAAACTCAACAGAAGAATCTTCCATATCCAAATTTCAAAGCACTAAGTCCAATCCCCTACATGAAAAAATCAAACGTACAAAATTCTGACTGAATATAAGCACTTCATTGATGCATGAAACATATATTTATAACTTGGACAGCTGAATTTCCGACCATAACTATAGTAAACAATTCTAAATTTTACCTTTGGTAGCATCATTTCCTTTCCCCCATTATGTTCAGTTCAATTATTGAAACTAAACTTCTCATGTCAGATCATAATTAATGAGTACAAGCTGAAATACCCATCAACTGACAGGGAATGTTTAAACTTAATTAACAGCAATCATATATTTCAAAGTAACAACTTAAGCTTTATCCCAAAATTTTAAAATCATAATAAAGCTTCCTCATAAACAACATTTGTAGTGTGCTTTCCATCTACCAACAAATAAAGATTTTGAGGTGATCCCACCTTTGAACACCCTACATCTCTTTGACCATAAGAAAAGCATGGTTATTCGAGAATCAATCCAGCGACTTCTATACTTTGACCTTTAATCCCCTTAGAACATTCAACATTGTCTAAAGCATCAACCTGCTAAGATTGTTTGAGATTGACTCAATAGGCTGCAAGTAATTAACCAACAGGCTTTACAAAATAGAAATGGAGTTAAGTTCAATTTTGACATTCCCCATAGTTCATAGTGTTTACATACCAATTTTGGTTGAGATTAGCCCAACAGACTCTGAGGAGTTACGATGCAGACAAACACATATTTCATCTTTATATATATATATATATATATGATTACACATAATGTTGCAACCAGTAGTTTCATATATACATATATTCATAACTTTTATGTTTTAACAGAATATTCTACAAACTGTGAAGTTCTATCAATACAGTATTCACAACTAGCTTGTATAAACTTACACACCATGGATACAAATGTGTAGTATATTAAGTTACGATACAAAACAAGCAAAATATTATAAATAATAGTGTTAGAAATACATACAGGGGTAGGTGCCCATTCTTCCCCAGATGTCAAATAGTCTAGATTCTCAGCTGGTTGATTAATTTATTATTCCAATGACTTCTTACACAGATAGTCATAATTATTTAAACATAATTAAGCTTTAATTCATTTCAGTTATCTAGAAACATGAGACTCAACTGACTTTCAAAGAGAGATTTTACAACCTCAATTACAATGTGCTTTAGTGACCCAAACTGCACAACTTATTGGCTCTCCAAGAGGAACAATATGAAAGGCTATTATAAAATGACGATCATCTCATAAGAATGGCTAATGGAAGAGTCGTTGGAAGATCATCATTAGTAAACTAGGATACTATACTTTATTGATCTTCAAGAAATGAAACCTAATTTTTCAGCATACTTTCAAGAACTTGTAGATTCTCTGCTATAAGAAGAAAAGAACTGAAGCATTCAAATGTGTAAAACTTCAATATATAACAGATTTCACTGTATGTTAGTTCTCTCAATCAGCAGTTCCTAACCACCGGTCGACAGGGAGATTTCAGCCAGCCTGCAAGTTGGTTGAAAAAACAAACAAGTTTTAAGATATAGCTACTGAAGAATAATGTTTTACAGTATAACATACAAAAACTTTAAATGTTGTTTAATGTATAAAACAGTCCAGAGAATTTTGGGATCAGAACTAGCCAGTCCTCAGTTGAAAAAAAGTTAGAACTACTGTTTTAGATATATTAGCAGTAATAGTGGATTTAAACACTGCTATGTGCTAGTTCATTAGATGCAAGTAGTAGTGGATTTAAACACTGCTATATGCTAGTTCATTAGATGCAAGTAGTAGTGGATCTAAACACTGCTATATGCTAGTTCATTAGATACAAGTAGTAGTGGATCTAAACATTGCTGTATGCTAGTTCATTAGATGCAAGTAGTAGTGGATCTAAATACTACTGTATGCTAGTTCATTAGATGCAAGTAGTAGTGGATCTAAACACTGCTGTATGCTAGTTCATTAGATACAAGTAGTAGTGGATTCAAACACTGCTATATGCTAGTTCATTAGATACAAGTAGTAGTGGATTCAAACACTGATATATGCTAGTTCATTAGATACAAGTAGTAGTGGATTTAAACACTGCTATCCTGCTATTTGCTAGTTCATTAGATGCAAGTAGTAGTGGATCTAAACACTGCTATTTGCTAGTTCATTAGATGCAAGTAGTAGTGGATCTAAACACTGCTATTTGCTAGTTCATTAAATAAACTAGCATATAGCAGTGTTTAAATCCACTACTACTTGTATCTAATGAACTAGCAAATAGCAGTGTTTAAATCTACTACTTGTATTTAATGAAATAGCAAATAGCAGTGTTTAGATCCACTACTACTTGTATTTAATGAACTAGCAAATAGCAGTGTTTAGATCCACTACTACTTGCATTAGATGCAAGTAGTGGTGGATCTAAACACTGCTATATGCTAGTTCATTAGATGCAAGTAGTAGTGGATCTAAATACTGCTATATGCTAGTTCATTGGCTATAAGTAGTAGTGAATCTAAGCACTGTTATATGCTAGTTCATTAGATGCAAGTAGTAGTGGATCTAAGCACTGTTATATGCTAATTCATTAGATACAAGTAGTAGTGGATCTAAACACTGCTATATGCTAGTTCATTAGATGCAAGTAGTAGTGGATCTAAATACTGATGTATGCTAGTTCATTAGATACAAGAAGTAGTGGATCTAAATACTGATATATGTTAGTTCATTAGATGCAAGTAGTAGTGGATCTAAGCACTGTTATATGCTAATTCATTAGATACAAGTAGTAGTGGATTTAAACACTGCTGTATGCTATTTCATTAGTTGAAAGTAGTAGTGGATCTAAATACTGATGTATGCTAGTTCATTAGATACAAGAAGTAGTGGATCTAAATACTGATATATGTTAGTTCATTAGATGCAAGTAGTAGTGGATCTAAACATTGCTGTATGCTTGTTCATTAGATGCAAGTAGTATTGGATCTAAACACTGCTATACAGCAGTGTTTAAATCCACTACTACTTGTATCTAATGAATTAGCATATAACTGTGCTTAGATCCACTACTGCTTGCATCTAATGAAGTAGCATACGCTATTTCATTAGTTGCAAGTAGTAGTGGATCTAAACATTGCTGTATGCTTGTTCATTAGATACAAGAAGTAGTGGATCTAAATACTGATATATGTTAGTTCATTAGATACAAGAAGTGGTGGATCTAAACATTGCTATATGTTAGATTTCTACGTATGCGATACCTGGGTGAAAAAAACTTGTACATTAAGTGGCTCTCTGAAGATAAGAGCAGTTCAAGAAGATTCAAAAACTGAAGTTTGCGAGTTATTTTTCTATATACAACATTAGTTGTAGCAGGTTTGGAAACACATCACTAACATCTTTAAACTTAATAAGAGGATGTTGAAAATATTTAATATAATAGAAATATATTGTCTCAATATATGACAAAAATGAATTCTGAGTTTGCTAATCAGTTTTTTTTTTACTTGACAGCTTTGATTAGTTAAAAATCATGGTTTACGTAAATTCTCTATAATACTAGCACAGAATTATATTATTTCATCTTGTATATTCCCTAATAATAATAATAGATATTGATGCATCAAAAAACTTCATCTTGTTATTACATTCCTAGGTTGTGATATCAGTGTAAAGTCAAATGTCTGTCTTTACTAGGTTCTATGAATATAATAGCAGTAGGGACTACAAAATGAAGCCTGTCAGTAAGGTTAGCTTAGAACTACAACATGAAACCTGTCAGTTAGATTAGGTTAAAGCTACAACATGAAGCCTGTTAGTTAGGTTAGGTTAGAACTACAACATGAAGCCTGTCAGAGAAATTAGGTTAGAACTATGACATGAAGCCTGTCAGTTACGTTAGGTCAGAGCTACAACATGAAGCCTGTCAGTTACATTAGGTCAGAGCTACAACATGAAGCCTGTCAGTTACGTTATGTTAGAACTATGACATGAAGTCCACCAGAAAGGTTAGGTTAGAACTATGACATGAAGCCTGTCAGTTAGGTTAGGTTAGAACTACAACATGAATCCTGTCAGTAAGTTTAGGTTAAGACTACAACATGAATCCTGTCAGTGAAGTTAGGTTAGAACTATGACATGAAGCCCATCAGTAAGGTTAGATTAGAACTATGACATGAAGCCCATCAGTAAGTTTAGGTCAGAACTACAACATGAAGCCTGTCAGTAAGTTTAGGTTAGAACTACAATATAAACTTGTCAGTAATTATAGGTTAGGACTGCAACATGAAGTCTGTCAGTGAAGTTAGGTTAGAACTATGACATGAAGTCTGTTATGAAGGTTAGGTTAGGACTTGAACATGAAGCCTGTCAGTAAGGTTAAGTTATGACTCTAACTTGAAGTCTGTCAAGTGAGGACAGGTTAGGACTAACATGAAGTCTGTCATTAAGGTCCTCTATATTTTTGTACTGAGAGTATGTTTTAAATTTATTGGATATAACAATTTCCATTCCTCTCTCTCTCTTTCTAAGTACAGCTCAGGAATATGAGTTATATATCACAATAATATCTTAGAAATATGGAGGTACAGGATTTGACTTTTCTTTATCTTATCTCTTTGTTCCTTAGATAATAAATAACTTTGGGTCAGCTCTTCTGTTTACTAGAGTGGTTGACCAAGTGTAGCAATACTTGTGTGAGGAGAAACTGCTTGTTTGTTCAGTTGTTGAAAACAAGCAGTACAGAAAGAAATGACAAGAGATTGAAGATGGTAAAAGCAACATTTAGATAAGTAATTTGTATGTAAGGAGAACTAAATTTCCAAATGAAACTTCAGTGTACTAGCAGATAGAACTGGTTCAATTATATGTGCCTCACATATCCTTGATGATTTCTTAACTGGTGTCTAACAGGTTCTGACTCAATGATACACTTTTCTTGGTTTTGGGTAAAAAAAAACTGAGATTATGCATTTTCTGCCACTTCATTTCAGTAAGCTTAAAATCCCTTTTTAATATTTTCCTCAAGAATCAAAATGTAGACCCCAACTAGTTTGTTTTTAGTGTAAATCATTATCATGACAATTTTCCATACTGTGTAAATAATGCACATACCCATTAGTTTAGCATAGACTTTAACCTGCAATTTATAAATTAGGAAATAATAAAATATCTTGTTAAACATTTTATTTCAGTGGTTACTTAAATCCATCATGTTGTATTCAATAAGACTTGTATATTATAAGCTCCTCCACAATAATATTCCATTTTGAGGTTGTAATGTACTTTTTTTTTGTCCAAATTTCTTAAATGTTAAGTTATGATGGATTACCAGATGCAATAATCATATTTTAATTGTATTACTCTAGCATTTAATAACAATGAACTTTAATAAAACCATGGTTAATTTTTTGTAACAGATAACTAGTGTCCAGTCTCTGAGAACACACTTAAGATATTGTGATCTGCCACAAAGTTGAACAACCCCAAATTAAAGCCCAGTAACATTTTATTGACAGATTCTTCAAGGAATTTCTTTAGTGAAAGACTATGTTTAAAAAAATTAATGGATTACATTATTCAATGATTTATTCATTTTTGTTTTATGAACAAAAGACTTTCAGGTGAGTGGATAATTTATCTATATAAATATAATAGTACTGTCTGTTGTCTGTTACATGTCCATGTAATTACTTCACAGGGTGTGGATGGATTTTCACCAAAATTAGTATGATGGTTCATTAGGTCCATGCAGGAGTACATGCAAATTTTCAGTTTTACATTTTGTGATTTTTATGGGCATTTTCGTGATTTTACCACTACTTTGCCCCCTGTAGATGGATCTTCACCAAATTTGGTATGGAGGATCATTGGGTCCATGGGGAGATTACATACAAATTTTCAGTTTTGCATTTTGTGATTTTTATGGGCATTTTCGTGATTTTACCACTACTTTGCCCCCTGTAGATGGATCTTCACCAAATTTGGTATGGAGGATCATTGGGTCCATGGGGAGATTACATACAAATTTTCAGTTTTGCATTTTATGGTTTTATGGGCATTTTTTACCACTATTAGATGGATCTTCACCAAATTTGGTATGGAGGATCATTGGGTCCATGGGGAGATTACATACAAATTTTCAGTTTTGCATTTTATGGTTTTATGGGCATTTTTTACCACTATTAGATGGATCTTCACCAAATTTGGCATGGAGATTTGTTGGATTCATGCGGAAAAACATGCAAACTTATGGTTTTACATTCTGTGTTTTGCAGTTTTATG